TGCCAGTCCTCCATCACACAGCCTAACCTGCATCCCCATGGAAGGAATCCGTGCCTCCTGTCTCCTCGAGTTCATTGGCGTCTAGGGAGATGCCCAGCAGCCCTCGCATCACGCAGTCCTCTGTGCCGTCGCTGCAGCCGGGTGGCCCCCTTGTCGAGCCCTCCCCGTTGCTGCCGTCGGCGCCTGCCTAGCGCTTATTTCGAGAGCTCTCCGCATAGCCCCATCCGGCCTCGCAGTCCGCTGTAGCAGCGCTCGAAGCCGCATTGCCGTCGGTTCCGGCTGCGGCACGGGGGAGGGCTGCAACCTCATGCAGCGTCGGTCGCGCTGTGAAGTCCCCTGCGTCCTCCTCGTTGCTGCCGTCGTCACCTTCTCCATGCACGTGGTGTGGTCGGGCTGTGCGGCCCGATCTGCGGCCTCTGCCTGGGACTCGCGTGAGCCCTCCAGCTCCACGCTGCAAAAGGCGCGGCACTCGGCCTCAGCCGCGGGCTCGTCGACGGAGCCCTGCTGCTCGAGACTCGACAGGTTGAGGCCAGGGACGCCGAGTTGGACCGCCTTCTCCACGCTGCCCTCGGGCTTCTGGCACCTCCAGCGCCCACACCTCCAGGTCCCACTCGCGCTGCGGGCCCTCGGCGCCGTCGCCCCCCACCACCGCGTGGCTCACGGGGCCCCGCCTGCCTCCCCGGTGGCGGCCCGACCTGCTCGAGCCCTCCCCGACGGCCCAGCTCGTCGTCGACCACGGCGCCCCCCGACTCTGCTGCCCTCCCTGCGCCTCCGCTCCCTCCTCGCCTGGCGAAGGCGGGCCTTCCTCTGCTGCTCCTCGGGCTCCGCGCATGTCCACTGACGCCGCACGTGGCCCCCCTCCGGCGGCGTTTCGAGTGGACGCCTTTGGTGTGCTCGCCTCGGCGGGGCGGAGCCGCGGACGTCCCCGCCTGGCAGCCTGGCGACCTCCGATCCGCAGCCCACCTCGCCCTCGGCGAGGACACCCGCGTAGCCGGCCTAGCGCTGCACCCCGAGGAACTTCCTCTGGCCACGCCGCCACGTTCAGCAGTGCTGTCCAGCTCGTAGCTCACCTCCGAGTCGCTCGCCTCCGAGCCCCGTCCGACGTACTGGACTGGCCCGAGGGGAGGGCTGCTGGCACGACCTGGACTGTCCCCGCCTTCTCGGCCATCCACTCCCGCAACTTTGTCTCCGCGGCGGCGTCGCCCGCCCACTGCTTCGGCCTTCCCTGGACCACGGCGTGGGCTTCCTTGTCCATCCTCTCGGCGGAAAGCTCGAGCTCGGCCTGCGCCACCACGCAGACTTAGTCTCAGAGGAGGAGGAAGATGAGAGGGACGTAGTACGTCCCTCCTCTCCTCTTCCTCCTTCTCCTCCTCCGCCTCTTCCTCCTCCTCCCTCCTCCTCCTCCTCCTCCTCCTCCTCCTCATCCTCCTCCTCATCCCTCCTCCTCCTCCTCCTGCTCCTCCTCCTCATCCTCCTCCTGCTCCTCCCTCCCTTCCCTGTCCACGATCGACCGCGGCAGGCTACCCGGCGCCTCCAGGCCCGACGACTCGCCAGGCGGAGAGGGCGCGCTTCTGGCGCGGCATATTCCGCGCCTGCAGCCGCCCGTCCGGGGGCCGCAGTGGCGCGCAGCCGCGCAGCCTTGGCCGCTCCGTGCGCGCCGCTCCAGACTCCGCAGGGAGCAGGGCGCCGGCTCCCTGGAGCCAGAGCCGAAGCGGTCTGAGGAGATCGAAGAAGAAACAATGCCATGAGCATAAACTTTTGGCGCTCCGCGCGGATTTCTTGGATCTGCGCTGGGCCAGCCCCCCCCCCAGCGGCACCTCCAGCGCGGCCGCCAGGGAGGGGGGTCCAGCGCAGACGCAAGAAATCCGCGCGGAGCGCCACAAGTTTATGCTTGTGGCGTTTTTTCTTCTTTGGGAGGTGGGGGGAGTGGGACAGGGAGGGGGGAAGGTGGCGGACGCGGAGGAGGGGGAGGGATCGGGAGGGGCTGGGACGAAGATCAAGCCGTGCCAGAGCGTTTCCAGAACGCTCTTGGAGCGCTCCAGAACGCTCCGAGAAGGCCGCGCCCGAGATGTCCTCCAGCACTGCCGGGTCGAAGAGATGCTCGATTCACCCTCCCCCGAATTTGCAGTGGAGACCCATGCCAAGAAACACCCGGCTGGCCTCCAGGGTGCCCTGGGTTTCTTGGGTTTCGATGGCCTCGCGGTGGGGAGCGCGGCGTGCCCACACCAGAAATCAGTCGACGTTCTGGGGTCTCAGGGTTGGGTGTCTTGTGGAAGGTTTTTTGTGGACTGGCCTCCACTGTATCCTTGTCCTGGCTTCGTCTTGGGGTTGAGTCGGGCACGTCCCTCTACAGGAGGAAAATGCAAAAATAGTCAGACAAGTAGTCCGGGGACGATTTTCGAGCATTTTTTAAGGAACAACAAATCATTACTTTCGATTTTTCGTCCAGCATCCGCCTGCAGGAGGACGTGCCCGACCTCAGCTGAAGGGGGAGGAGCGGCGATGGCGAGGGCGGAGCGGCGGGATCCTCGTCGTGGCTTCGTCTTAGGGGAGAAGGGCGAGGGCAAGGAGGAGGAGGAGGACGAGGAGCCCCTACCGGTCCGTGAAGATGCTCTGCTGGTTCGTGTAGGCGCTCAAGGAGTTCGGTGGTGGGGGCGCGTGTGTTCAACGGGGACGAGGACCTCGAGGACGTGGACGAGGACGAGGGGGAGGGCGAAGGGCGGAGCGGCGGGAGCGGGGAGCGGCGGCCGCCGCGCGCGTTGGCCGGCCGAGGAGGACGACGAGCTGCTCCTCGAGGCGCGGGACGCGACGGCCGCTCTCCCTCGGGGTAAAACGTCGGGCAGGTTCCTGACAGGAGGAGTGATGATCAAAAATAGTAAAGGATAGTCTGGGGGCGATTTATTGGATGATTATTGTCGATTTGTTGGTTTTTTGTTGAATATTCTTATTTTGTTGTCCAGGCCGCCTGTAGGAGGACATGCCCGACCTAACGCGGGGGTCAATTCGAGCAGAGGTCAGCCAGAGCGCCGGATCTTGCAGGATCCTGCAGGGGCAGGGTCGCGTTGATCCGGGTTGGGGTGCAGGCCCCTGCAGGATCCTTCGCGGGATCCTTCGCATAGGCCCAGGCATGGGTGCAGGATCTTGCAGGATCTGCAGGGTTCTGCAAGGCGTGACGGACCCCGTTCTGGATTGACCCGGGTCAGAAGATCCCCGACCGCTTGTGTTAAATCGGGCAGGCCCATCTACCAGGGGAATTTTCAAACAGCTTAACAATCGTCTCGGGGCGATGTGTCGACTATAGTCGCATTTCTGGATATTTTCGGCTTCTTTTAAACAAAATTCATTCCCAGAGTCCGCCTGCAGGAGGACGTGCCCGACCTAGCGCTTGGGGGCCGCCACGGGGCGGCCTTCGCCGCGCGGGCGTCAATATCGTTCAGCCGGCCCCCCCTGAGATCCTGGCGCTGCAGTTTTCATTGCGGGTGTATTCGCTCGATTTCGGGCCCCAGGGACACCCACGGATCGATCCGGCTTGGGAAATGGCGCGGACAATGGCGCAGGGAATTGCTCCTCGAGGCGCGGGGCGCGGCGGCCGTGGCCGTGGCCGTGGCCGTGGCCGTGGCCGTGGCCGTGGCCGTGGCCGTGGCCGTGGCCGTGGCCTTGGCCGTGGCCGTGGCCGTGGCCGTGGCCGTGGCCGTGGCCTTGGCCGTGGCCGTGGCCGTGGCCGCGCCCCCTTGGGGCCAAAAATCGGGCAGTCCCACAACAGGAGGAATCTTCAAACATAGTCAAAACATGGTCGGGCCCAAGAGGGGCCAACCCAAGAGACTGCCGAGAGCGCCCCAGGAGGCCCCCAAACGGCCCAAGAAATCCCAACGAAGGCCCAAGATGGCGCCGAGACGGCCCAAGAACCCCCCCAAAGAACCCCCACGACGCGCCCAGACAACCCAAGAAGACCCCAGCAGCCAACGAGAGGACCCAAGAGGCCCCCAAAAAACCCCCAACGGGCCCCAAGACAACCCAGCGCAGCGCCAGGAGCCCCCAGGGCAGCCCGATAGGGTGACCAGGACCCTCTCTTGATTCAGCGTCCTTCTCCAAGTGCCTCTTACTGTCCTCCGTCGTCGTCGTCGTCGTCGTCGTCGTCGTCGTCGTCGTCGTCGTCGTCGTCGTCGTCGTCATCGTCCTCCGCATTCCTCTTCGTGCTCGCCCTCGTTCTCTTCGTCCTCGTCGTTGTGCTTCTCCTCATGCTCCTCCTCGCTATCCTAACGTTCTCCATGTCGTCCTCGTCATCGCCTCCTCGTCGCCCTTGCCTTCCTTCTCTGCATCTTCGCCCTGCATGCCTATTGGACTAAAGCGGCGTTTTTCGTTCTTGTCCGATCAGGACATCCTCAAAACAACGGCTCCGGAAGGGTCTCCAAACCAACACCGTTTTGGACTCGCCCCCAGAGGGTTTCAAACCAGCCCAAAAGAGCCCCCAAAGGCTCCCCAGAGGATCCTAAAAGCGCCCCAAGAGACCCCTAAGAGGCCCCAGAGACGGCCGAAGATGGCCCAAGAAGGCCCCACGACGGCCAAAGAGGTGCCCAAGACGGCCCAAGAGGGCCCCAAGACGGCCCCAAGAAGGGCCAATGAGGAGGAACACGAATCGACAATCCGAGCCTTCCGCCCCAAGAGACCCCTAGGAGGCCCCAAGAGGCCCAATAGAGGCCCCCAAACAGTTCCAAAACGGCCCCCAAGAGGCGCAAAAGAGGCCCCAAGAGGCTCCCAAACGCCCCCTACGAGGCTTGTGTAATTGCAGGGGTTTCTTCTACTCGTTGTCCTCCTGCTCCCCTCGCTGCCCTCCCTGTCATCCACGCTGCCATCCTCCTCATCCGCCGCTTTGTCCTCGCCATCATCCCTTTCTTGTCTCCCCCTCGCGAGCCCAATGGACAACATCGGCGCTTCCCGTTCTCGTCCGATCGGGTTCGAGCGATTCCGGTGCCGAGAGGTGTTCGACGAGGACATGTTGACCAGCGACGATTTCCTGGGCCGGATGGCCATCCCTCTGCTCAGGACGCCCCGACCGGCAGGGAAGGCGGCCTGGGAGCTTGCTGGACCTTGGCCGGGCCCGCGCAGGTTCGAGCACACCCAAGGTTTGTGTCTCGTTTGGGTCACGCGCTCGCAGGAGGAGGGGGACGATGATGGTGGTGGTGGTGACGAGCATGAGGCTGCGGCTGAGGCTGAGGCTGAGGCTGATGATCATGACGATGATGACGATGCTGCTGATGATGATATGATGATGATAATGCTGATGCTGATGCGGATGCGGATGCTGATGATGATGATGCTGGTGCTGATGCTGAAGATACTGATGCTGATGATGACGATGATGACGATGATGATGCTGATGATGAGGATGATGCTGCTGATGATGATGCTGATGATGCTGCTGATGTTGCTGATGATGCTGATGATGATGCTGCTGCTGATGCTGCTGCTGATGATGCTGATGCTGCTAACGCTGCTGCTTCTGCTGATGATGATGATGATGCTGATGCTGCTGCTGCTGATGATGATGATGCTGATGATGATGATGCTGGTGTTGATGCTGATGATGATGATGATGCTGATGGTCGATGCTAATGACGGTGATGATGATGCTGATGCTGATGCTGATGATGATGATGCTGATGATGATGATGTTGATGCTGATGCTGATACTGATGATGCTGATGATGACGATGATGATGCTGATGATGAGGATGATGCTGATGATGACGCAGATTATGCTGATGATGATGGTGGTGATCATGATGCTGATGCTGTTGATCGTGATGTTGATGGTGATGATGATGCTGCTACTGTTGAGGATGAGGATGCTGATGATGCTGATGATGATGCTGCTGATGATGAAGATGATGATGACAATGCGGATGATTGATGATGACGATGCTGATGCGGATGTTGCTGCTTTTGATGATGCTGTTGATGATGATGATGATGATGATGATGATGATGATGATACTGATGATGATGCTGATGATGATGATGATGATAACGATCATGTTAATGGGGATTCGGATGTTGCTGCTGCGGTTGATGATGTTGATGTTGCTGCTGATGATGCTGCTGATGATGATGCTGATGCTAATGCCTATGCTGCTGATACGCATGCTGATGATGATGACGATGACGGTGGTGGTGGAGGCGTTGTTGATGATGCTGACGATGATGCTGATGCTGATGCCGATGCTGATGTCGCTGATAATGATGCCAAACATGATGTTGGTGATGCTGTTGCTATTGCTGCTCGTGACCATGATGGTGATGTTGATGTTGAGGCTGAGGTTGATGATATGGTCGATGATGCTGGTACTGCTGCTGATGAAGATGATGCTGATGCTGCTGCTGATGCTGATGATAATTCTGCTGCTGATGATGAGGAGCAGGAGGCTGATGCTGATGATTATGATGATGGTGATGATGGTGCTGCTGCTGATGATAATGCTGATGATGATGACGATGCTGATGCTGATGCTGATGCTGATGATGATGCTGATGATGCTGCTGCTGATGATGATGGTGATGCTGATGCTGAAGCTGCTGCTGATGATGATGTTGATACTGATGATGATGATGAGGAGTAGGAGGATGAGGATGCTGCTGCTGATGATGATGATGATGCTGTTGTTGATGAAGATGCTGATGATCGTGATGCTGGTGATTGTGATGCTGAATGATGCTGCTGCTGATAATGATGACGATGACGATGCCGATGCCGATGATGATAATGCTGATGCTGCTGCTGATGATGATGATGCTGGTGCTGATGCTGATGCTGATGCTGCTGATGATGCTGATGATGATGCTGATGATGCTGCCGATAACGATGATGCTGATGATGATGATGATGCTGGTGTTGATGCTGATGATGATGATGATGATGACGATGCTGATGGTTGATGCTAATGACGGTGATGATGATGCTGATGATGATGATGATGATGATGATGATTATTATGCTGATGCTGATGCTGATGCTCATGATGATGAAGTTGCTGCTGCTGATGCTGATGATGCTGATGATGATGCTGATGCTGCTGATGTTGATGATGCTGATGAGGATGCTGATGCTGCTGCTTCTGCTGATGATGATGATGATGCTGGTGCTGGTGATGATGATGATGATGAGGAGGAGGAGGATGAGGTTGAAGAGGAGGTTGAGGAGGAGGAGGAGGAGGCTGATGATGACGACGATCATGATGATGCTGTTACGGATGGTGGAGAGGCGGTGGTGGTTGTGGTGGTCATGATTCTGATGCTGCTGTTCAGAAGGAGTAGGAGGCGGATGAGGAAGAGGAGGAGGAGGAGGAGGAGCAGGAGGAGGAGGAGGAAGAGACGGATGGGGAGGAGAATGAGGAGGCGATGCGTACTGCGAGAATCGGTAAGGTGCTGCGCACACTTGGCGCCCTTCCCAGTACTGCGAAAGCTGGTTGACCTCGGGAGGTCTTTAGGGTTGCACCCCCTTCTCCTCGGCGGGGAACTAATTCGCCCCTCATCCTCCTCCTCCTGCTCCTCCTCCTCCTCCTCCTCCTGCTCCTCCTCCTCCAGCTCCTCCTCCTCCAGCTCTTCCTCGTGCTCGTTTTCGTTGTTGTCGTCGTCGTCGTCGTCGCGGCGGATATGATTTTCGCTGTATTATTGGGCGGGCAGGATAGTTCTGGCGGGTTCTTTCTCCCAGAGAGTTATCTATCGTGGGCTACCCTGCACGCAAGAGGATTTGTGAGCATCTTCTTATGAGGATTGCAATCGGAATCGGTGGTTGTGGTTGTGGTCGTGATTGTAGTCGTCGTTGCAATCGTGATTGTAACTGTGATAGTAGTCCTGATTGCAGTCGTAATCGTAGTCGTGGTTGTAGTCGTACTCGTAGTCGTCGTCGTCGCCGTCGTCGTCGCCGCGACGGAGATTAGTTTCTTTTTTTGCTGGGTGGGCTGGGTGGGCTGTATATTCTTTCTCCCAGGGAATAGTGCTCCCTGGGCCACCCTGCGCGACAGAGGATTTTTGAGCACGCTCGTAAGAGGATTGCAATATGGATCGGCACATTCTTCGCCGACGGCGTTGCTCACACTCTCCTCCTTCATCTCGTCGTCGTCGTCATTGTTGTGCGCCGGGTGCCGCGGAGAAATCATTATTTTCCATTAGTTTGGTTGGACCCCAGTCCGTCAATACTTAAGGGAGGAAGAAACACCCGGACCCGACAGCTGGCGTTTACTAAACGGCCCTGGGCGTTTATTAAACAGCCCTGCCATGTTCGATTCCTTCTTTGGGCGCGTTACTGAACGACTTCGCGTGTCGGGTTGGTTCTGATAGGGGGTGGATTTTTTTACCTCTAAATGAGGCGTTGAGCATATACTTTTCCACTATTCTTGGGGGGGTTCTGTGGCGGTCAGGTGCTGCGCACACCCGGGTGGTAACTGCCGACCTCCTCGGCTCCTGCCCCCCCTCACCAGACTCTCCTCTGCCGGCCGCCTGCATGGTGCCACACGGTTTGACTAGGTGCTGTGAACACCGCGCCGTTTTTCCCTCTTTGAAGAAGGATGACACGAGGTCGTTCCGGCTTCCGTTTTCCAGCGTCAGAGAGGGCTGTCCGAGCCGGAAGCGTGTCCCGAATGAGCCTTTCTAAGCGCGTGCCTGGAAACTCTCCAGAAGGTCTTTCGGGAACTTTCTCCAGGTCCTTCCAGAGCTCTTCGAAAAGCCTTTCTTCGCCCTTCGGGCGCCCTGCCACCTGGGTTTTGGACTCTGCAGGCTGAGTGTTGAACATTGCGCCGCTTTTCCGATCCGAGGAGGAAGACATGCACAGTGAAACGTACGCTGACGCCTCAGGAAATGGCACCACGCCCGTGGCAATCGAAACATTCGGTGCGGGCCGTTTCAGGCTCCGTGCTTTGTGCTTTTACCCCCTTGCACCGCGCACCTCACATCCCTCCCAAAACCTGGAAGCAGGCTCGACGCCACAGGCGGATGCGCATTTTGCCAAAACGCCAGTTACCCCCCCCTCCTCCTCCTCCTCCTCCTCCTCCTCCTCCTCCTCCTCCTCCTCCTCCTCTCCCTCCTCCTCCTCCTCCTCCTCCTCCTCCTCCTCCTCCTCCTCCTTCTCCTCCCCCACCCCCATCACCTCTCCCTTCCGCTGCCCCTCCCTCTCCTCCTTCATCCTCTTCCTCCACTTCCTCGTCCATTCCCTCACCTTATAGATAAGTCCTCCCTGTCGCACCACGAAGCTGGTCGAAAGGGCGGGCAGGTCGTTTCGCTTGATACTTCCTCGCCATGTGTGACCCGGAAGTTTAAGCGTTGGCAAGAGTTTCGCTGATAGAGGGCGGGCCGCTTCCAACATATGGCTCTCGCCTTAGCGCCGCGCACACTCGTTTCAAATCATTGCAAGGGCTTTAAGGATTGAGGGCGGGCCGTTTTCAAAATGTGGCTCTCGCCTTAGCACCGCGCAAACTCGTGGTAAACGCTTGGATGGTGTTTGCGGATTGAGGGTGGTTGGTTTCCAAAGTGTGGCTCTCGCCTCAGCGCCGCGCGCATTCGTTTCAAACATTTGCACGGGTTTCACGGAATCCCATGGTCGGTGTACCAGAATCTGTATTTTGGAAGGATGCAGGATTGTGAGGGTGCAACAGTTACGTGGACTCGCGGTGTTGAAGTCGCAGGAATGGTGTTCTGGCATGGTTCAGGATTGTCAAGACGCAACAGTCAGGTTGACCCGTGGCGTTAGAGTCCCGAGAATTGTGTTTCATGGTCTTCAAACGGTTCTCTCCTGACGAGGCAGTCCCCTCAGTGGAAATGAACCCTCGTAGGGCCCGTGAAGGTGGAGTTTGGAGGGAGGGTTTCTTCCAATACGGTATCGTCGATGAGTCTTGGGTTTGCGTTGGTCCTTCTCGTCGTCGTCGTCGTCCTCCTGCTCCTCCTCCTCCTCCGCCTCCCTATCCTCCTCCACAGCCGGCGGCTCGGCCCGCCTCTTCCCACCTCCTCC